GGACATGTTTTGTCTTAAAAGGACATGTTTTGTCTTAAAGGGACATTTTTTGTCTTAAATGGACATGTTTTGTCTGAAAGGGACATGTTTTGTCTTAAAGGGACATGTTTTGTCTTAAAAGGACATGTTTTGTCTTAAAAGGACATGTTTTGTCTTAAATGGACATGTTTTGTCTTAAAGGGACTGTTTTGTCTGAAAGGAACTGTAAACGTAATTTCAAGTGATCTTCTATTTATAGAATGGAATGTTCGACTCACAACGGTAAACATGCAGGCCCACTCTAAACGTTGCATGATCCAAATCGGTACAACATGTAATTGTAATGTATATGTATTTATTCGTACCGTCCAGCCTGGATTATCCGGTGTAAAATCAACCCAGCACGTTTTCTGCAACAAATGTAACCTGGCAAGATCACAGTGTAAAAGTTCTGATTGAGCAGGATTGTTTTAATTTTTAAAATTTTATAACTATCTGGTTTCTCTTTAGGAGTGATTTCTGGAGTTGATTGTCGGAGTTAACAACTTTTCAAGCTAGAGAAACGACGATATCTACTTCAATATTTTCTATAGAAAAAGGGTCAAGGGGTACCTTTGGAAATCTGATATGCCCCTTCTGGAATGAAGGGACACTTGTAAATATAAAGCCAATTAGAATAAAGATTCTTTTTATTCTAAAACAGATTGTCGTTATTATTTCATGTGATATACAGGGTGTCCCACATCATATTATGATATTAGATCATTAATCGGTCACAACTACGATTTTCGGGACTAATCAGATAATTTAAGAAGAATGAATCATTTTGAAAACTTGAATAAGTCTAATATAAGAATTTTCTTGTGGAAAATGCTAGGTTTTTCGAGTTTTATGTTGCGTTTTTTGCGTTAAAACTTGGAGATAATCTAATATGATATGGGAAATATATGTTCTTTATCAGAAACATAATAAAATGGTAGTAAAGAAAACCTCAGCAGAAAAAAGTAAATTGTATTAAAAGTTTTCTATGATAACCTAATGATAAGATACTTATTGTGGAACTTCAAGAAAACTGCAACACCTGGTGTCTTACAGCGCAATTTCATGAAGCCCCGGATGTAAATCTTATTCGCATGATTTAGCAAAGAAGATATATCCTGATCAATTCAATATATATACTAATCAATTTAAGATATATACTGATCAATTCAATATATACACTAATCAATTCATGATAAATACCGATCAATTCAAGATATATACTGATCAATTCAATATATACACTAATCAATTCAAGATATATACTGATCAATTCAAGATATATACTGATCAATTCAATATATACTAATCAATTCAAAATATATACTAATCAATTCAATATATATACTAATAATCAATTCAAGATATATACTGATCAATTCAAGATATATACTAATCAATTCAAGATATATACTAATCAATTCAAAATATATACTAATCAATTTCAAAATATATATGCATTTACTAATTTGATATTTACAGAAATCTAATTACTTTTGTTTGACGCACAAAAAGAAATTTTTACAAAATTAAAAATCTTTTATAGTATAATTTGTAAAAGTTGAAAGATAACAATTTTAATTCTATAATTTCATATATTTTCCGGCAAATATCTTTAAACAAGTGTTTCGTGGATATTATTATCCTTCTAATACATAATTCTAAATGATGATATTTTTATACTTTAAACATGCAATAATTATGTTCGAATCGTTTTTACAGTACTGTAGTATTAGTATAGTACATCACACTACTGTACCGTACAGTACTGTATTATTAGTATAGTACATCACACTACTGTACTGTACAGTACTGTAGTATTAGTATAGTACATCACACTAAGCTGACGTTAGAAAACAAAAAATTGACAAAGGCCCAAAAAGTATTTAAGTTTAATGTTAAGTTTATTTTACAAATATCAATGGTTCCTACTGTACACTAGGAAGTATTTTTGTGTATCAAAATAATGAAAAATTACCCTAAGTGTTACCTACACGAAATGTTCCCGATAGTAAATGTTACCTATACCAAATGTTACCTTTACAAAATGTACTTTATACAAAATGTTACTTTACGAAAATGTACAATACATAACGTTACTGCTCCAGAAACTTATTATTTCATTATAAAATCTATTTAATTTTTGAAAAGCCCCTGGTTCTTTAATAGTGTGCAGGACTTGTGCCACTAAATTGAATCTTCTCCATTAGTTAAATCTAAGTAAAGTTAAATCCCCAAAATCCTAAGATCCCATGAGACCTGCCCTAAAGTTCCCAAAATTACAAAATCAAAACTCTACTCCATCAATGAAGATAATGAAGATATTAATCTTTAAAAATATTATGTTATTTAGATAACAGTGCAGATGGCGAAAAATGGACTAAGATTACTTCGAATATGCTTATAATTAAAATATACTTTTTTAAATTGAAAAAGCACAAACAAATTACTAATTAATGAAAAAGATCAATAGGTCGTAAGAAAGAAAATGGCATTTATTTTTTACATATGTAAAAGTAAAAAATACACACTATAAAATATCATCTTAAGACTATAACTAGCATTAGAAATGTATCAGCTAAGACATCTTGTGGTGAAATTCTGAATCAAATTATTGTGTTAAAATGAATTTATGAAATTGGATATTCATATTTTTCAATGAGGGGGGGGGGGTTTAGAAATTTATATGTGTAAATATTTTCTGCACAAATTGGGCTGTAAAATTTAACAAAATTCAAAGCTTTTCGACACAAATTTTTGTAATTTTGAGCATTCCCAAACCTTCTCTGGGGTCATGTGATCCTCCCACACAAAGTTTGGGCCCGATCGGTTCAGCCGTTTTGACGTTTATCGGATTCAAACGGACAGACATCCGGAGACGTACAGACAAACAAATATATATCTATATATACACTTTTCTGGGTGTCTGTCTGTTTGTATCCAATAAATGTTAAAACGGCTGAACCGCTCGGGCCCAACTTTTTTGTGGTACCTCACATGACTCCAGGGAAGGCTTATATACGGTCAAAATTGTCAGCTATTAATAGATCTTTATTTTGGGTAGTTAAGATCATGTGAAAACAAATTTCAAGTCGCTTTGTTTGAGCAATCATTTTTTTATTTAAAGGGAGTGATCGGCTATGTAAGGTAATTGAACTGAGTATGCAGTGTTGTCGAAAACTTCTTTAGGATTCATTTGAGACATATTTCACTTTTTAAAGATCTGTAAATCCTGAGTTTGAGCGCAAATTCGACGTTCAAAACTCCTGATTTGGGGGTGGATGCGTTTTCAGAATTAGTTTTTTTTTAATTATTAAATAACGACAACGAAAAATAAAGTAATCTAATTAGATGGCTAGGAACATATTTCACAAAAGAAATTTGTCAATAAATCAATGCTAAAATCGATTACTTCGTTTTCATTATTATATTAAATTTCTAATTTTCTTTGAATTTATTCGCAGATTTCTTCAAATTCTTTAAATGTCGTCTTTTCAATGATAATTATAAATCTGCGAACATCTTTGTGAATAATCAGAAACTAGAATAATGAGATAATAGAAACTAATAATTGAACAAGATTACTTATTTTCGATGATAAAATTAATTTTTATTTTCTCAAAATGTTCCGAAACATGACGTCTGTAGTTTATTGTAGAATATTTTTAAATTTTATTTCGTCGTTATTTAATAATTAAAAAAAACTAATTCTGAAAGCGTATCCACCCTCAAATCAGGAGTTTTGAACGTCGAATTTGCGCTCAAACTCAGGATTTACAGACTTTTAAAAAGTGAAATATGTCTCAAATGAATCCTTAAGTAGTTTTCCACAACACTGCGTTCTCAATTAAACTACCTTACACAGCCGGTCACTCCCTTAATTATATGTCTTTCAATCGTATTTTTTTGAATTGATGAAATATTAGTTCAATTAGGATAAAGATATAAAGTTAATATCTTGATTTGATTTTTTAAACTTTATTTTCATTCAGTATTATATAAATTTGTAGATATAAAGATCATATTGATCTTACAGAAAATTATTTTAGAAGAACGAAGTCTATGTCCACAATGTGATTTTAATTGAGCTTAAAGTTAAAATAATAAAATTTATCTTATTCCATCAAGCAATTACAAATTGCTTTTGAATGCTATAAGATTTACAAATGTAATTTTTAAAAATACATTTTAATTGATAAATGCATGTTAACTAAAATAAAAACCAGAACATATGAAATAAATATTTTTAAATGATTATTATTTGAAATTGTTAAACCGAGACACCTGGTGATAAATTTATGAAGTATTGTAATAAAAATGAATCAATGAATGAAATTTGATATCCTGTTTCCATCAGTAAACAAAATGTAGAACGGGTATGAAACAAAAACAACTGAGAAATAAATAGTTACCAAGCAATATTTCAGATAAGAAACGATTTTAAACTTTCATTTTAAATTTGTTACCAAATTTTAAAAAAACTGTTCCTTCAAAGGTAGAACAGTTTAGGTAAAATAAAAATTTCAAAAAAATGTTTTTCTTAATAAACAAAAACAAAAACTAAGAACTATTCATTATAAGAGTGCTAGGCAATTTTTGTTAAAGAACTAAAATATTTAAAATCAATGGTTAAGGAATTGAGACAAAAAAATTTATTTTCTAATCCCTATATCTTTGCAACCCAATGTCGTAGATTTTAGATAATTCAAACTATGAATTCTGTTATCTCCAATAATCTAAGTTTGAAATATTAAAGATTTACAAACATCAGGTTGCATAGATATAGAGGGATTTGAAAATTTGAGTTTGTGGCAAAGGTTTTCTTCTTTGTAAACAAGTGGAATTAATTAACTGTTAATTAAATTTATTGAACTGAAAATTTATATTTAACCAGCCTAAGGCCGAATCAGTGGCCGAATTTAAGGAAATTGAGCCACGGCTCAAATATGGTTGGTTCCACTTAAAATTGTATTCAATGTTTCAAGATTTAAGCCGGCGGTGTCTAATTAAAACCTGTTTTTGGCGAATTTGAGACAGGGCTCAAAATAATTAAAATCGGACTCCAAACTAAGATTGCAGTATTATGTACAACAGTAGTAAACATGTTGTGGGTTTTAGTGCAGAGTGTAACAAAAATCATAGTTACTTAATAAGGCCAGCTCTAAAAATCATACCCTCATTTTAAAAAATAAAATAAAATTTTATCTTTATATGAATAACATGTTTTTACATTTCTGCATTAATTAGTTTTTGTTTCCCACAGATTATTTTGTAACACTTTTTAAAAATGTCTTTTTTTACTTTCCGTTGTTTTGGGAATACATATCTTTACTTGGTGGATAAAAATTTAAAGATTTCAAGAAATAATCAAGAAACAAATGAAATTATTATCCTTTTCTTTTTGTTAAATGAGATAAAATTAATACTCTTCCAACACTCAAATATATTTAAGCATTTTGTTGTGTTATAATCTTAAATGATTAAAAGATCCAATATTTTATTACTATATATTATAATAGCTAAGGGCCCGGCGTTGCCCGTGAAATAAAAGTAAAATTGAAAAAAAATATTTTTTGAAAAAAAATCGATTTTTGAAAAATACAAAATTTAGAATTGTTAAGTGTCCAAAAAGAAATGTCAGCTCATTCGGTCCAGCCGTTTGACTGGCTATGGGGAACATATATATATATACGATTGTCTTGTTTTATTATATAGATTATATTTGACAATTATAGGTTAAGATATCTGAATGATTAGTTTTAGATTAAATCTTATTTAATTATTTACGATCTGTGTGAAATATTCCATCTCCTTGAATTTGTATATGGACGCTACGTTCTTCGGTAGTTTTTATCCCCATTTCTCCTTATAATCGCAAGAAATAGATAAGATTATAGCGATCACAATTGAATTCGATTCAAAGTTAGCCTATACCCCCTTTCATTTTTCGCGAACACTCCCTTTAAAAATGCACCAGCTTCTGGCCAGATATTTCTGCTTTTCTTCCTCAAAATTAAGAATAAAAATTTCACCATCACCCCCCCCCCTAATCCGCAACCGGGTTAGGGTTAAACCTTGTTTTCAATTATACCGTCATTCACCAATTCCTGAGTTTGTGGCTTCGTAGTTATATATTTTACGCACAAGGATATGAAAAACAAGCATATCTGGATACATATCAATAATTCAAAACATTTTTTATTTCGCATTATCACTCTAATAAAAGGAGTTATAATTGAAAAATATTATATTTCAATTCACTTTAGTGTAATGTGCCTTGTATGTTTTGAATAATTTGCAGAATATAGTGCTGTGACATTGATTGATTGAATATGCGCTGGTCAACCTGGTCAACCTAATCTGTCCTATCCTGACCTTCTATATTTTAAAATTCATTGATGCATTCATCCTTTCATTCATCCTTTCACCCTTTCATTCATCCATTTATTCATTCATGATTTTTCTGAAAGAATTTGACCTAAACATCTTTCATTCCAATTAGTTTATTTTTCAATTCCTTCTGTTCTTCCAGGTGAACTTTTTTATTTTCTAAACTTATTTCTAATTTTCTTCAAGTGTTGACATTTTTGAACGTTTTCAAGCTTTTTTTCCTTTTATGTTTTGTATTTTCTTCATTGCCTTCATGTGTTGCCTAATATTCAATACAACTGCAAATACAACTGTGTTGCCTCAATTTTAACATCGATTGTAAAAGTCGAGTTTTAAAATTCAAGATCAAAAATGCTGCAACAAACAATTTGTTTTAGATGCAGAGTGTTCCACGAAACATGACAGATGGTGGATAGTTTAAAATGTCTTCTTCCATAATTTAAAGAGTTGTTTGATACCAAATAAAATAAAATATTGATTTCAAAATGTATTTGAGAAAAAGATTTTTTCAACGAAATATCTATCTACCTATCTATCTATCTAGCTATCTATCTATCTATCTATCTATCTATCTATCTATCTATCTATCTATCTATCTATCTATCTATCTATCTATCTATCTATCTATCTATCTATCTATCTATCTATCTATCTATCTATCTATCTATCTATCTATCTATCTATCTATCTATCTATCTATCTATCTATCTATCTATCTATCTATCTATCTATCTATCTATCTATCTATCTATCTATCTATCTATCTATCTATCTATCTATCTATCTATCTATCTATCTATCTATCTATCTATCTATCTATCTATCTATCTATCTATCTATCTATCTATCTATCTATCTATCTATCTATCTATCTATCTATCTATCTATCTATCTATCTATCTATCTATCTATCTATCTATCTATCTATCTATCTATCTATCTATCTATCTATCTATCTATCTATCTATCTATCTATCTATCTATCTATCTATCTATCTATCTATCTATCTATCTATCTATCTATCTATCTATCTATCTATCTATCTATCTATCTATCTATCTATCTATCTATCTATCTATCTATCTATCTATCTATCTATCTATCTATCTATCTATCNGTTTGCAAAATAATTAACATAACAAGCGGGGGGAAAAGAGAAAGTAAAAACTTTTTCAAATTTTTTTTTAAATAATCAGAATTTTTAGCATCGGCTTTTCAACTATTAAGATTTCAATTTAAAATTTCAAAAACTATAAAAGCAAAATGTTTTCATAAATCAGTTTTCCAGAGGTGTAGAAATTTTGAATGGAGAAGTATGAAGTTGAACTCGGTACGACTGATTCAACTAATTCCACGGATAGATAGTTCAAATTTGTAAATTTTATAGAAATGAAGGAACAGTCCTGGTCTCCTCCTAGATGGATTCAACCTTTTAATCCAACCAGATTTCAGCAGGGTAGCCAGGTATAGATAATACCAGATTCAGCAGGGTATCAGGTATAGATAATACCAGATTCAGCAGGGTAGCCAGGTATACATAATACCAGATTCAGCAGGGTAGCCAGGTATAGATAATACCAGATTACAGCAGGGTAGCCAGGAATAGATAATACCAGATTACAGTAGGGTAGCCAGGTATAGATAATACCAGATTACAGGAGGGTAGATTACAGCAGGGTAGCCAGGAATAGATAATACCAGATTACAGTAGGGTAGCCAGGTATAGATAATACCAGATTACAGGAGGGTAGTGAGGGTTAGTATAAGTGAACACAAGACCGGTATCTTGTACTGGTTCAAACGATTGGTCTCATACGAAACCTTTACTAATGTGTAAAAACTACACTAGAAGATGATGATTTATTTAGTGAACCGTCCTATTTTTTCTTCTATGGTCTCTGTATCTATACTAAACAACTTTCTCTAGATACCTAAAGGTCACTCCTGTACTTCAAAATGTGTCAGTAATAATAATATATGAGATTAGATGGTTATCATATCTAGTATANTATTGTTTGAAGGATTAGTATCAGGGACTCCTTCTCCTGATATATCATATAAATATATAAATACATAAATATATCTAGGTATTCTTTGAAGGATTAGTATCAGGGGCTTCTTCTCCTTGATATATCATATAAGTATATAAATACATAAATATATCTAGGTATTGTTTGAAGGATTAGTGCCAGGGGCTTCTTCTCCTTGATATATCATATAACAATAAAAATACATAAATATATCTAGGTATTGTTTGAAGGATTAGTATCAGGGGCTTCTTCTCCTTGATATATCATATAAATATATAAATACATAAATATATCTAGGTATTGTTTGAAGGATTATTATCAGGGGCTTCTTCTCCTTGATATATCATATAAATATATAAATACATAAAAATATCTAGGTATTGTTTGAAGGATTAGTATCAGGGGTTCCTTCTCCTGATATATCATATAAATATATAAATACATAAATATATCTAGGTATTGTTTGAAGGATTAGTATCAGGGACTTCTTCTCCTGATATATCATATAAATATATAAATACATAAATATATCTAGGTATTGTTTGAAGGATTAGTATCAGGGACTTCTTCTCCTGATATATCATATAAATATATAAATACATAAATGTATATAGGTATTGTTTGAAGGATTAGTCTCAGGGGCTCCTTCTCCTGATATAACCTGGACTTGGAGAGGAAAACCATTGCAGGTTGGCTAAAATGGAATAGTAGACGAATTTATAAAAAAAAGTTTTGATATTGAATTGACTTAAAGATTAGTTTAAAGAAAAGGGCGAAAAATTTTTAAAATTAGTTTAAATGTGACAATAAGAACCCAACCTTTGGCTGAAAATGTTAATTTAATGTTTTTATATTAAATGTTTAATCAAAATTAACGAACTCAACCTGTTTAAATAGATTTAATAACATTTGTGTTGAAAAAAATGGCTTCTCTATCTTTTCTATATATATATTTAGACCTAATCTGGTAGAGCCGGACAGGGGAAAACATGGCTTCGCTTTTCTATATATATATTTAGACCTACTCTGGTAGAGCCGGACAGGGAAAACATGGCTTCGCTTTTCTATATATATATTTAGACCTACTCTGGTAGAGCCGGACAGGGAAATACATGGCTTCTCTTTTCTATATATATATTTAGACCTACTCTAGTAGAGCCGGACAGGGCAAACATGGCTTCGCTTTTCTATATGTATATTTAGACCTACTCTGGTAGAGCCGGACAGGGGAAAATAGTTTCATTTGATCCTAACAATGGTAGAGTTACACTTATGCTCAGGTTAGAGTCGAACCCATAAAAAATCACATTTTAAAGACGACTGATAGACTCACTTTTTGATTTAGAATAATCAATAAACATGAAACGCGGCATTTGTGCAGTCCATCTGTTGATTTTCAAACTAACTGCAGTAAACTATTTGCTGACGAACAAAATCAAATACAACACAGATTTTAAATATCGTCTTCTAATTACGACGATATTTAACTAAAAATATTGTTTTCACACGAGATGTTAAAATGTGGGATGCTTATTTCGATTCTTTATTTTTTGTGATATCAAGACCTGTTTAACCCCCCTTTCGCAATACACTTACACCTTGTAAGTATTCTTAGGGAGTAAGCATTTTGAATTTAGATAGGTATTGATTGATAATTTGAAGACGACATTAAGTTGCAAAAACATTTGAAAAGAAATATTTCGACGAGTTGCTTGTACAGGGTGTCCCAAAAAACATTGGAATTCAGAGATACTTGAATATCGTCTTTAATTTTCGACAATTGATAGATGACATAAAGTGCATTAAAAAAAAAGGTTGAAGTCAGAAATTATTTCCAAAATGAGGTCTATACCTTCTTTGTAACTTTAAAAATGACTGCGATATTAAACTGTAACTTTAAAAATGACTGAGATATCAAACTGTAACTTTAAAAATGAAGGAGATATTAAACTGTAACTATAAAAATGACGAAGATATTAAACTGTTACCTTGAAAATGAAGGAGATATTAAACTGTAACTTTAAAAATGACGGAGATATCAAACTGTAACTTTAAAAATGGCGGAGATATTAAACTGTAACTTTAAAAATGAAGGAGATATTAAACTGTAACTTTAAAAGAAATGAAGGAGATATTAAACTGTAACATTAAAAATGACTGAGATATTAAACTGTAACATTAAAAATGACTGAGATATTAAACTGTAACATTAAAAATGACGGAGATATTAAACTGTAACATTAAAAATGACGGAGACATTAAACTGTAACTTTAAAAATGATGGAGATATTAAACTGTAACATTAAAAATGACGGAGATATTAAACTGTAACTTGTAAAATGACTTAGATATTAAACTGTAACTTTAAAAATGACTGAGATATTAAACTGTAACTTTAAAAATGAAGGAGATATTAAACTGTAACATTAAAAATGACTGAGATATTAAACTGTAACTTTAAAAATGACTGAGATATTAAACTGTAACTTTAAAAATGAAGGAGATATTAAACTGTAACATTAAAAATGACTGAGATATTAAACTGTAACTTTAAAAATGACGGAGATATTAAACTGTAGCATTAAAAATGACTGAGATATTAAACTGTAACTTTAAAATGACTGAGATATTAAACTGTAACTTTAAAAATGACGGAGATATTAAACATTACAGAACAGTTTTGTTGAGATTTAATAAACTGGAATCTGGACAAATTTCCTAATATATCTATGTTAATTTTGAAGGTAAAAAATGGTAGACCACATTTTGGAAATCCCGAGACACAGTTGTTTTCGGTGTTAAATGTTTTAACTCCGATGTACTACAAAATTATGTTTACGAAATAATTCCGCTTGGAACAAAGACGATATAGAAGTCGTACAAAGATCTTTAGCGTATTTATGTACAGTGATGTTGGTCCAGGGGATGAGGGTGTTTACACATGTACAGCTTCAAATCCATACGGAGAATCCTCCTGTACAATAAATGTAAGTACTTATTTAAAGGGATTGTACACGAAATTCACATTTTTCAAGGGATAAAAGTGTTTTATTCGGATGGATTATCATTATCATGTTTTCCTGCAGCAGAAATACTCCTTTGTCAATTTTGTACAGAAACCTCAATAATCAGTTTTCAAAATATTGATCATTGATGGCATTGCCATCTTTGCATGGAGGATCACTTGAATTTTAGCTTAGTCCATTTAATTCTTAGATTAGAAAAATTCTTTTAATATTTCAAATATATAGCAGAAGTCATAGCGCCAAACATCAAGGTTACAGCATCAGGGTTCAAAGATATAGGGAAACTAAAAACTATAGCTTGAGGTGCAGATATAAATGTTATTTTAAACATAATTGAAGAAAACTATAGAAACAGGAAATATAAAATCAAGAAATATACTTTTAGGTCAAACTTGTACATCTTCAGCTAACAAAATTATTAAAGCTATAATTAAAAAGTTCAAGAAAAAAAGATTAAAGACGCCTCAAACCTTGGTTTTCTGATTCCTATCTTTGCAATCTGAAGGTGTGAACCGTAGATAATTTAAAATTTGACAATTTGATCTACAGAGAGAACCAGAAAACTCCGGAATAGGAAGACACGAATTTTAGACCAAAGTTTAGACTTTGAATAGTCCAGAAAATATGTAACACAGAAATTGTGCAGTGTAAACAGACCAATATCACTAAATAACTCATTTAATAAGTTAGTGGTATAACTATTTGCTTTGTAACATCAAATACACTTAAGTATTACTTTAATCTTATCTTCCTACTCCACACTTTTCTGGTTCTCACTGTAGCAGAAGAAGAATGTAACAATGTTGTTGTAACGACTAATATATCCATAGAGAATATAATATATATTAAAGGGGAATTTAATAGAAAAAAGTGTAAAACGGCCATTTTGTTGTACTGTTTCCATACTGCAGGTGTACTTCACATATTTATGCTATGCAACCTTTTGGGCCCTGGAATATCATTTTATAGAAAATCTAAAATTATTGTTAAAAGAAAATCAAATTATGAAATAGGCTGGTTTCATAACTGACCAATGATCATTTCACATAGACTCTATGCCTTCCACTTTACAAACGATGATTTTCGTTATAACTATAAATCAAATGATGTTTTTATTCACCTAATTCATTATAAAGTTTATTTAACAGTTTAAAAAATTCGAAATTGAAATGAATAGTCTAGGGAACATACCATATAATTTGTGAACATTTACATGATTTGTACACTTTGAACTCCCTTTCAGGCTGAAAGGGACTGGAATAATTGATCCCGAGAGATTCTTTAAATTCCCCTCTAATATATATTCTATTCTCTATGGATATATCTCGAGTAATGTTCGGAAAAATCAACAAATAATTTCGCTTTCGTATTTTTGACCCCATTGTACTCTACTCTATAATTGATGGTAAAGGTTTTTTAGCTTTTGCTAACTCTACAGAGGCCAAAGGTTAGAACTTTTAATGGCGCTAATCAGCAAAAATATATAATTAATTTATCGGACAACTAAATAAATGGATTAATATGCTTCCGAAAGAGATTAAAACCAAAATTTTTTTACCTTAGAGTTTACATTTATTCACTCCTGTCACCCTGTCATTCATGTTTTACTTTCAAGGCAGAATAAATATTTCTCTGGCGCAAATTTTGTGACCTCTGCTTGCGTCATTTTCATGATTCTTAGGCCGCGTAACGTCAGTTCATCAAATATAACTTTGCATTTAGTTCTTGTTATATTTAAGATTTGTGAATGATATGCTAATACAGTGTGTCCCACGAAACATGACAGTTAGTAAATTATAGTGTTTAGAATATATTAAAATATTATAAGGAAGTCATATATTACAGTAAAATTGATTTCATAGTAAAATATTTTCAAGGAAAAGAAATAATCTGCAAACGTATTTATATTTTATACAATATATGGAAAAAGACATTCAAAACTATTCACAAACTGTCATGTTTCGTGGGACACCCTGTATATAATTCTTTGTAACACAGGGTTGTTCACAATGGATGACATTTTAATGACGGTCGCGGAAAATATGAATTACAAACTTGATGATTTTTTACGGTCCTATATCTAGCATATTAATTCTATTCGTAAAGATACGACCATTTTAATTTGGTAAAATTATCACGATGTACAACAAAACCCTTTTCTGATGAAAAATGTTGAAGAAACTGTCGTTTTTTAGTTTATAGTGCATTCTTCTGCTGATTCCTTCATTACAGATCTACAATAAGAAATTTGCGCAAGCTACTTTGAACAATATAAGTTTGTGGCAAAAACTCAGTTTCTTTGATTGGATTTCTTTAAAAAAAACTTTAAAGCCCTCCCCCCTCTCCTTTAATTTGATTCCCTTGATGCAAGAAGTGTGTAAATATATAAACTATGAATATTTACTCCTTTGCTTTCAACTCAACAATTTATTTGCTGTCAAAGTTCAAACTTAAACAGGGAAATGTTTAATTTTCTTAAAAACATTTTATTATAAAAAACTAAATTTTTTAAATTTTCTATGTTAGAAAACTCAAAAATTGAAATTTAGTTTGCGATTTGACCCCTGAAATAACAGCTGATAACCCTGAAAATGCGGGGGAAAAGTGCGGCTTTCTCTGAAAATTAATGATCTCTTAAATCAAAGACGAAAGAAGTCTAGCAGGATAAATTAACCTCACTTAAACCTACACCAATTAGTTGGGAGGGAAGTAAAAAAAACGATCAAACAGAAAAAACATTATTCAAAAAAGAAAAGTGCAGCTACAGGGTGTCCCAAAAAAAACATGGGAATTCAGGGACGAATTCGATATAGTTTTTGTTATGAATAGCATTGTAATATACCTAATTTCAAGAGCCATAATATAGCTATATCTGCTAGAGTTTATTTTATGAAAACGGAAAAAACTGCAAAGATGTGTCTATAATGTATCCGCAAGATGAACAATGAAGACGGACAAGTTTTCTCTGTTAGTATAATGTAATTTTCTTGTTTTACTAAGTACAATCTTATATGCGGACAAACAAAATGTAAACATAGCAGACAAAAGTCTTACGGATTACAGCTTTCTAAGAAGGTATCACTATTGAAATTTTTATAAACTAGAAATTCAAGGCGCTTCGCGCCCTTCTTTCTAGCCTTAGAGGACGCTTCGCGCCCATCTTCTAAATTAATTGTGAACATGTGCTTTTTGTGTACATCGTAAAACAAAACAAAAATAATTCGCGGGTTTTCACAAAAAATTTCGTGGATTTTCAAAATTTTCAAAAATTTAATGAAGATCGAATTTTGAGGGAGACAAATATTTGAAATTTTGACCATTCATAAACCTTCCCTGGGGTCCCTAGATGTACCACAAAAAAATTGGGCCCGATCGGTTCAGCCGTTTTGACGTTTATTGGATACAAACAAACAGACTAACAAACAGACAGACAAGCCAAATTTATATATAGAAGAAGATATCGAATGCATCACTGAATTTATTGGGACACCCTATTTTGCTTTATTATGATATGAACTTATTTTGATGTACCATTTACTCATAGAACAATAAGTTTTAATTCATAGACTTGCCTAAATAAGTTTTTTTAGAATTGGACTTCAATGACAATTGTTGCAAAACAAAAAACAGGTTTTTAACAAGAGATTTATAAATTATTTCTAGTTGAGTTCAATTTAAATACTTTGTGTAAATAGACCGAGACAAATATTTAAAAAATATTTCAGGCATTTGATTCTTATTCTAGACTAATCTTCTGCTTGTTTTTATATTCTGCTTGAACAGTGGCCTTAGTTCCAATGTTAAATATTTTAGAAAGAAAATAACAAGGAAAAATGTCAAAAAGCTGTTGAACAAGTTTACGAGATAAATAAGGCTAAAACTAAAATGCTTTTTTTTATCTATAAAGTTCTTAATTAATCGGTATCATTTTTATATTGGCTGAAGCAGGCTGAAGGCTTTAAAGTCGCATTTGAAATTTGTAATAGTTTGTATCATTTATTAAATACAACTTAATTTAAGTTATAATTTTTTATGTAACAAAAATCAAACAATAGCCCTAGTCAAATTTGGTCTGCCATTTTATTTTATTACAGTGATAACTGTGAAATAGAAAGATGATTTTTAAACTCTAGTTAGGACTTAAACTAGTTTCATGTTCATTAGACATAGCAATTGTGTGAATAGACCCATTTCACTTAAATAGTGCTTTCTAATTTACTAGAAAAAATATTTGCTTTGTAACAACCTCAAAAGTATTGCTGTAATGTCGTCTTTCTATCCTATTGTTTTCTGGTAATCATTGTATGTATATACCAGAGATATTAATAATTTTGTTTAAAATTCAAACTATTAGATGAATCTTTGAAAATTTTGGAAATTTTGGGTTATTTTGTGATTATTGTTTTAATTCAAAAATTCAAAAAAAAATTTTAACATTTTTTTCACGGGCAACGCCGGGCCCTTCATCTAGTATGAATATATATGCTTTGCAGACGGTTCTCCATTTGAATACTAAATATTTGTCTGCTGTACAAATACCGCGTAGATACATGTATTCAGAATATGTTCTTGTATGCATTGAACAGTGAAAAAATTAGGCTGAATATCGCCAAACAAACACATCTTTTTGGGATCCAAAAATATTGGCAATACAAACGTATTTTTATAATATAAAAAATCGGTTTTATTAAATATGTCACAGTAAAAACCAACATATAAAAGATTAAAAGACGATATTTAAAAACTTTTTTACAATAGAGTACCGTCTGCAAAGCATTTATAATCATATGGTAAGGCGGTCTGCGTCGTTTCTACCTCCCTTAAATTCGATACTCCTTGGTTATGGTTGCCGCAAACTATTTCTAAGGTCAAAGACGCCTTTTTAGTCTTGGATCAATTAAAATCATTCCGGTTTATTTAGAATAAGACGAAATTACCTTTTAACTTTTTTCAAAGACCTCAGAAGCTACTGAATTTCATCATTAGTGAGATAGAATGAGAAACACAACAGTTTCAATTTTCTCTTGAAAATCTCTCAAATTACTAAAATATGGCGTCAACACAATACACTGTAGATACACATTCCATGTTGGCTAATTTTGCTCAATGTTATTGACACACAAACAAAGCAAACAATTTAAAATATATAAAAAGAAAATTTTAATTTTAACTTTAAGTTTGTAAATCCAGTCTTTTTGCAGTATGTAAGAAAGCAGATTAAATAAATTCCGTTTTTATGGTGAATATATGTTCAGCAAGAGCGCAAGTTCAATTTTTAAAATCCGCATAGATGGTTCATTTTTGAGGGATGAACATTAAAATCGGTTTTTAAAAATTATTCAATAACGACGACAAAAATGTAATACAAATTTTACAGTAAACTGATTAAATGTTTAGGAACAGGTTGAGAAAATAAGAATTAACTATTATCATCGAAAAGAAGTAATCGTATTCAGTTATTGGTCTTATTGTTCACAAACATTTTCTGTAGATTTCCTTAAATTTTCATTGAAAAGACGACATTTAAGAATTTGAAGAAATCTGCGAAAAGATTTTCATTAAGAACAAGAAATTCAATATAATGATGAAAAAGAAATAGTTGATTCTAATATTGACTTATTGAATCATCTTGTGAATGATTTTGTACGTCGACTTTGCGCTCAAACTCAGTAATTAAACATCATTATGATGTCTCAAATGAATCCTAAAATAAAATTCTCCACAATACTACTTTCTATGATTCTCTGTTCAACTACCATAAATTGCCTGTCACTCCATTTTTAACCCAACTAATATTTCTTATTAGAAAAACATGGCGTATGCTTGGAATATATTGCCGTATTCAATTAAAAACTAACTTGAGAAATATGATTGTTGGAACAATTATCAAAATTGAAACTTATACTTATAGCCTTGAGATCTTCAACATGTGATCTACCGTTTTGTGCTTTAAACATTATCGGAGATATCAAGAATTTCTTTAATATTTCATGTTTTTTAAAAAAACTTAATTCAATAAATTGGAGAGGTCACTTAATTACTAATACCGCCTGTTCAAATATTGTATCACCGATTTAAATCCTCATGAATCCGGTTCAAATATTGAATCACAGATTTAAATCCTCGCGAATCTGGTTCAAATATTGAATCACCGATTTAAATCCTCGTGAGTCTGGTTCAAATATTGAATCACCGATTTAAATTCTCATAAATCTGGTTCAAATATTGAATCAGGGGTTGGTAGTTCAGCGAACTAGCTCAAATTCAATAAATTTTGTCTCGGTATATCTCCTGCTGTCGGAAGGGAATCGAAAAGAATTACGTTTTAAAATGTAATTTTTAAATTTTGTTTAGCTTTCTGCGGAGACAAAGATGACCCCAAGTCGACCTCGACCTACCCTTCCTAAAGGATCCTGTCGAACTAACCTCAAAGCTTGTCACATCGACTCGGATGATTACGCAGATTATGCCAGATTAAAGGGACTATAAACAAAATTTAAGTATTTTCAATGAAAATGGGGAAAAATAGCAAAACCTTGACTTGATAACAATATGTACATTTAGAACTACATCGAAATAAAATCAAAATAGAAGTTATTGCAAAAAAGTTTATTTCTTGAAAAATTGATTATAAAAAAAATCAACGTTATTAATTAAAAAATAATATTAACAAATTAAGCATTAATAAATAATAATGGTTTAAATAAACTTGATTATTTTCAAATTATCGATGGAAGTACTTCTTTTTCTTCTTTGGTTTAGCTTGTTCCTTCTGTTCATGAGTTTTCATCTAAAACATATTTATTTTTATAATTTGAAATCTCAAAATTGTAGAGTCAATCTTTAAATACAAATTTGGTTTTCCATAGCTATAGATTCTACTAAAAAATTTTTGCCAATTAACAAAAAAAATTGTGTTCACAAAATAATCAGTTCTATCTGCTAGCTAGCGAGAAAGGAACAATTAAACGTTGTATAGAAAGTAACAAGCAGACATATGTTAATTTGCTGGATAATGCATATTGCATACCCTACCTTGCCGAAACTAGAATATGTATTTTTCGGAATTAAAACCCAAAATCCTTACAATGTATGGAAGTAGGGCTGATTCGCAGAAGAATTTTTTTTTAATCAACATTAAAAATGTTTTATAAAATTGAAAGAATGTTAAGTATTATATTTGAAAATGAATGGTTACTAAATAACCATCTCATATATTGATTTAACCATATTCTAACGGATTCAAATCAGTTCGTGCAGGAAGATTTGAGCAATTTATGTGTTATATTTTCGACGGCTTCTAGAAGCCTTAAAATTTTATTTTCAATCAGTTCCCTTTTATCAAATTTTACTTGTTAAATTTATGGTAATTGTAAATATAAAATTGTTTAATTTAATTTTGATATATGCCAAGTTTTAAGTTTTTTTTAGTCTCCTGAAAGCCAATTAGATTAAAGAGTATTTAAAAAATCGCTTCAAAGGCCATATGCTTCTCATGTCCTGTCCTAGGCTCAGCGTCCTTTCAGCTGCCTTTCCATTTGAAGATGTACCCCAACCCAAACCCCTATGTAAACCTGTATCAGATGGATCTGTTGAGCGCCTGCTAGAACTTGAACCTGGAGAAGATCATCCATTCCAACCTTATCACCAGGTTCCTCGTGTTCTACTCCACTCAACTTGTACCTGGGGCAACTAAGCTTGATCAAGATACAATGTTCAATTAAAACTAATTTCATAAATTATGGTGATTTTAATTATTTAGACTATGGACGAAATATTTATCCTTATTTCTATAAAATTTGATAATTTTAGTTTAGTAAAAAAAGAACTAGAAGAAAGCTCTAAATTCTAAAAACCAAATATCGTCTTTATTGCTTAATTTCCCTGAGAATTGAAAGAGTCTGGTCCAACCAGGTGCAAGCTTTCTCCCCGGCCCGGCCCGGTACAGTGTACATCCAGTACAATAACCAGTTTAGGAACAGAATCCACTCCTTAAAAGGATATTGGTGCTTTGTGTGCTTGGAATTACTTGAGTAATATATTTAGACAGTTTTCAAAAACAAAACAAAAAATGACAAGCCAAGATTTTTTGTTTAAATTTATCAAATAGGGTTCTATGAATAATGAACATTGAATTTAGCTCTGGGTATAATGAGAGTATTTTGCTCCAGGTAAAGAAGAGTGCTGAGAGTATATAAATTTACCTGGAGAAGGGTTGCTGTGATCCTTTGAATATAGCTCCGGGTGTAAGAAAGAACTGAGAGAACTAGAAGAATGGTTGGAAGAAGTGGTGTTCTTTCTAAATTTCTGTATTCACTCTAAAAACATAACTTTTTGTTTCCTGAGATAAAAGGCAGTAATTTAAATAGGCAGTAATTTAAAGCCAAACTTAATTAGTTAATCCTGTAAGGTCAACGGGACTTTAGAAGTAATTACTCCAGTTAAACAACCCGATTCACAACAGTACTCTATAAACCTTCAATCTAACAAAACCTTCTTCTTCTATTCGATCATATTCGATTAATGTCTCTCTAAAAAACAGATTTAAGAAAAAAAACAAATTAGTAAGTTCACAAAATTTATTTATTTTTAAGAAGGTTTAAAGTGTAGTGATGTGAATCAGACATGCAATTCTTCAATTAAAGGTCATCTCCGAATTAAGTTTAATTAAAGTTTAATTTGAATACAAATTATCTTAATAATGTGACAGCATGGCATACCTTGAAATAATTTGAAACAATCTCTTTCTCTTCTAGTTTTCTTTTTAAATTCTCAATTTCTTTCTCTTTTTCTTCCTAAAAAGTATCAATACTTTTATTTATGATATTCTAATTTGATAAAAAAAAATGAAAACCTTGCATTGCTGAAAATCTATCCCCAATGAATCCAATTTACTCTGCATACTGCGTATCTTTAATTCTTTCCTGAAATAAACAAATTATCAGAATAATTAAAATATAATCTATATATAAATTTGGCTTGTCTGTTTGTTTGGGTGTCAGTTTGTTTGTTTGTATCCAATAAACGTCAAAACGGCTGAACCGATCGGCCCCAAATTTTTTGTGGGACATCACGTGACCACAGGGAAGGTCTATGAATGATAAAAAAAAATTTTTTTAAATGAGTTTTAAAGGTTTTTAATTTTGTGAAAAAATTTAAATTCTTGAAAATGTAAACAAAAAGAACATGTTCACAATTTAAATAGAAGATGGGCGCGAAGCGCTCTAAAAGCCTAGTTAAAATATAAATAAAATATGAATATAACAACGTTACAGGGATTCATATATAAAATTGTGGTTTAGGATTCGGTCGGTGATATTTCTTTTTAAATCCAATGTTTCCTTGACAAATGATTTTATTTTTTTTCATCCTTCAGAACGGTTGTTAAATTAAAATTTTGAGTTTTACTGATTCGTTTAGATTCTGTGGAATTCTGAGCATAAACCTTATAGAGTCGACATAATTTAAAGTGACCCTGTCCGAATTTAATGAATTTGATCCGCGTCTTAAATCTGCCAAAAACCGGTTTCAATTGAGCGCCAGCTTAAATCTTGAAACAACGAATACAATTTTAAGAGTGGAACCAACCATATTTGACCCGCGGCTCAAATTCTTTAAATTCGGCCTCCTGTCACTTTAAAGTTGCAAGCCCGATTACCATCATTTCAACTTTTAGTTGATTTAGATTACGAAACTACTTGTGTTTTCTATTTTAAAATTGATTATTTTCCTTTGTAGTTTCTCTAGTTTCTTACCGAGAAGTGCAGCACAAAAAAGGAAAAATATCAGAATTCAACACAGTTTAATGTATCACGGGCAGCCGTAGTTCATTTGAATTTCCGAGCCGAGTCAAATTTTCCGGTCCCAGTTTGTACTGTATCGCACGGTCATTTGGTAAATAAGGAAGACACTCAATAGGACTAGCTATTGCAACAAGGTTGACGCGGTTAGACTTTAGGTTAATTTTACTTTTACTAAAGGGTCAGGGGTGCATGGTATTGCTTATTGTTGCTTAGATAAAGGTGT